TAAACGTAGTACATCAATAGCTGAACGTGATCACCAAGAATTTGAGAAACACGCTTATATTCGCCAGGATGCGGTTGACTTCCTTTTACCTTTATCTGAGAGGTGTCGATCATGGGTTAAAGGCCTTCGTTTAAATGATGATATTTATAACGATACTTATACCCGATTAATTCATATGTCTCCCAATGAAGCTGTAAAGAGGGCATTAAAAGGGGAAAAAATAATTGCCGATCCTGCTGTTAAACATCGAAGACCTATTGGGTTTGATAAACCTCGCTTAACCTATAAAGATTCTGTTTTATATTTACTCGAACCTGGAGAATTAGAATTTGGTAATAGACGTATAACTGATATGAATTGGTCTCCAAAGGTTTATCGTATTAAGGAATCACTAATACAAAAAAATCAGCTGGTATTATACTGGCTTATGGATGAAAATGGTAATGGACCTGAAATATCATTCGTGAGAGAACAATTGATGAAAGTTGGGAAGGTTGAATATCCACCGAAATGGATCCTTAAACAGTAATAAATTACTTGTCTAAAAGTACATCATCAACAGCTTCCTCAATTTCTGTTTTAGTCATAAATCGATCTTTTTTGGATAGTCCATAATAAAGATTATATAAATCTTCTACACTAGTAAATAGCTCCTTTTTACCTTGATACCATTTTCTATATCGTGTCATTCTTTTATTATATGATTCATCATTTGGAAATAGTGTTATTGCTGTATATTTTATATATTCATCTTGATTTTTTGCATTACGTAAATTTTTTACATATCTGGCATATTCACTAATAAGCTTACTATCTTTTCTATATCGAAGACGAAAGGCTTCTTTTATTATTTTAATTTGTGCTGATTCAATCATTTTCCATGTAATATCATGTATCGATAACTCTGAGTCCCGCTCATTTATTAAACTTGAATTATTGTCAGTCATACTTTGTATTTTGTTTTATATAATATAAGTTTTATTTAATACGAGTTTTATTGCCACCTTTTCACAGTACCTGCTTAAAGCCAGATCTTAATTGTGTTAACTACTTTTCTTTTTTCGAACTAGAGAGGAAAAAGGTTTATTCATCTATTATCATAAACTAGTCTTCGTAAAATATATCTTCTATAGCTTGATTATCTTCTGTTTCATTTGTCGAAAAGCAGTCTATTATAGGTTGATCTTTATTAATTCCAATTTTCAGATATTTACTCACTAATTGATATATTATTTTATCAAATATTCGTTCGCAATTTTGTATTTTTATAGTTTTTATAGTTGTACATCTTTCTGGTATACTTAAGACTGTTTTTGGCGCTATTCGATTACTTCCATGAATAATTATATTATTTAGATTCTTGCATGTATTCAATGTCATCTTTAGTGAACTATTGTTAAGAAATCCCCATCCACAATCCTTGAATGATATAGATATTATATCTTGACATATACTTACAATGTCTTCTAATAAAAACTCATTCGTATTAAAATAATTATCTATTCTTTCGAATTCTATCCGTTTTATATATTTTATTACACCTGCTATTGGTTTCTTTTTTATTAATTCTACAAATTTCATAATATTGTATCTATATATTGTAATTCTTCTCCATATTAAATATGTTACGCATTCATTCCATCGTTTGTTAACATATAAAACTGGAAACAATAATTCATTATTACCACATAAGCTATCATTTTGTGTTCGTAAATGTTG